CTATATGGGGTGAATTTTCTACACTAGGGGGTTGAAGTTCAAGTTAACGTCATAGAAACTGACATTCCTAGTGGTTTACTATTAAGATTATTCATCCCATGAGGGATTGAATCAAAGATTATCAGATCTTGCTGTGAATAGATCACTATGGCGAATACGTATTCACTTTCTGACGTGTTCTAAAGCTTGAATATTCTCATTAACGTTCATCTTCTTATTCTACCCACCTGTTCTTTGTATGGTACAGTCAAGTATGGCAAGTTGGACTAGTGGACTTGCACGCAAGGTTGTACGTTGGTTTCGTCCATCCATCTGTGTCTGTCGATTCACGATTTCGCTTATTTATCATCCCTTATAAAGTTACGAATTCCCAGTACTGAAGAGTCTTAAAGTACGACGAAACAGTTGCTCAGTGCTTCTAAATTCCACTAGTTCTCTCTAGTCTAGTCTAGTCCAGTCAAGTCGATTAAAGTGTCATGTATCTTTGCTCTTCTTATAATGTAATATTCCTTGGTGTTTTGTTTCCACCTGTTTTTGACCTCCTCATCTCGATATCATGTTGTAAAGTGTAGCAGACTAAACTTTCATTTCTTTCTGTGTTATTCAAATCTGTTTCTTTGAGTTCTGTTCAATCAGTCGGTGATAGAGCACTGGGCCGAAAACCCAGTGGTCGTTGGTTCGAATCCTGCAACAGTCCAAATTTTCATTTCACCTTCAATCACCACTCAATATAAATACTAGTCTGCCAAACTACGGCTGTCTCAAATAGTCAAATGATAATCAATATGATCTTCTCCCTCTCTGATTCACTTAAATTTGGATTGGGATGAGAAGTCCTGACTAGGCAGTCACCAGTGTGAATACGATCAAGCGGTAGTAACGCATTACGAATTCACATGGTAGTCAGGCAAAACCCTTGGTGATTGAAGTTGGCAAAGCACTGGGCTGGAAACCCTGTGGTCGCTTGTTCGAATCCGGGCTCGGTCCAAATTTTCATTTTATCTCCAATCATCACCCAGTATGAATACTCATTAAGATCTTTACACTGTGCATAGAATTTTAGCTGGAATTGACTTCATGTATGCTCATGATAATATTCCTTGTAAAACAATCAACTATATGCTCAATCATATAAAATGTCATCTGAATAGATTGAATTATTAGTAATATGATATTATAGTTTTTCGTTGTTCTTTTTCTCTATGTTCTGTTTTACTGAAAACTGAAAACTATGAAAGATGATTGACAGTTGAATCTGTGCTACGTATTTAAATTGTCACTGATTGACACAGAAATACCCATCAACCCCCCTTTAGCCACACACACACGCACACAGTGAGTAACCCTATTTTACTCTACTGAACTATTCCTCTTTCACTCAAGATATCAATCAAGTTTTAGTGTAAATTGGTTTAAATTATTTCAAGAAAAAATTATGTTTTGAGATTTCATAAAGTCAAATTAATACTATGTATGAAATAATGTTTTTTCAAATCAGATTTTTTGCGTTACAAGTAAATATTGAATGAGCAGTAGCTATGTTCTCTGCCCAACTAAAGAGTTATGAGTGGACATTTTTGTACAATCTATTCTTCACGGAATCTCATCAGCCGTTTACTGTTTAATATTGTACAGTATTCATTATTGAAGTTTATAAAAGTATGCGGATTTGTGGGGTATTAGAGATTGTCAAGTTGGTATTCATCATGGACTGACATCAATCAAATGGAGGAATATTTGAAACCTGGAAGTACTGAACAGTAGCAAAGTGACATATCCAGTCTCATTTGTTTATTGAAAAAAACACAGAATCGAAGTTAACTTGGTACACATTCACATATTAGGTTATTTAATACGATTGTTTGTCCTATAGGTTCCCAGTGGAACATAGGAGTTCAGTAGCACGTCGCCATTTCACTCTCTTCTCTCCAATCTTTCCAACCTGGCTCCACGACTCCCCATAACCTTTCATTTCTTCCTCATACTATCTCCACCATAATACCACTCTCGGACACCCAACTCATTCCTCCCCATTTGGCTTCCGCTCGACTTACTGACTGACCTGACCTGACCTGACCTGACCTGGCCTGATGTGTAATGTCTCCAAACCGTCTTCTCATTCCATGCCTGACCCACCCCCACTTTCTTCTTCTTCACATTTTTGGGTGATAGGTTCTTGGTTGTCAGTCAGTCAGCCACACTTCCGCCTTCCTCATTATTATTACTATTATTATTCTCGCCATCTTATCTCCATCTTCAGTGTCAGTATTGAGTGAGCGAGCTTAGGTGGCAGGTGTTCATGTGATGTATGTGTTCAGTTTGTTGTAAATGCTTCTCGTAATATGGTGCCAACTGTTTCAACCGTCAGATGGAAGCACTTACTTATTTAACTGAATTGTTGTTGATAATCCGAATCCTGTTCACGCTTTATGCCAAGCTGAGTGGAGTGGAGTGCAGTAGATTTCCACTGTGATTTCAGATTAATGCAGAAAGGTTTGTCTTGCTGTCTTTCCTATCCTCACTGCCTTTGACATCCTCATACGTGCCGTCGCCACTACCTGCATTTGAAACGATGCTAGCCTGACTAGTTAGGTGTAGGTGAAACAGACAACCTTTACATTTCTCCCCTTCATGATGATTGGTGCTCGTTGTTGTTGTTGTTGGTGGTGGTGGTGGTGGTATGGTTGGGTATCTTCATCACCTCTGTCTTCTCTACGTTCACCTGAAGCTAGTCAGTCACGTCTTCCTTCTTTGCCTCGCCTCTTCTCCCAACTTCTTGGTTTCCCCTTGTAGATCTTCGAGTTTGTGCAACATGAGACATTAGACATAAATCATCATTGGCAAAATCCAAATCTTCTTCTGGTGTCTTTTCATCGGTCCAACCAGCATATGCCCATCTTCTGGTTCTTCATGGTTTGTTGCATGATCTAGTCGACCACAATCAGGAAGATGGTTGGTGATGATAGTAGGCGGCAATCTTGTCTTACTCCTCTTCTCTGTCTTCACTTTCGAGGCATCACTGAGCTTTCCATTGTGAATCACTTGGCATGTAGCTGCTGTTGAATGAGTTTTATGAAGATATGTGACACGGGAACCGTTGTGTTGAAGTAGCTGTCTGCCAAATTACTTCTCGGTCACACTAATTATGTAAGGCCTTTTAGTAATACTAGACAGTTGTCCAAGCAAGAATAGATGAAACCAAGTTTGAACTCTGGATTGATTGTTTAAACTAATGAATTATTAGATGCACAGAGGTGTTGATTCATTTTTAATGAGACGATCTGAGATATCAAGATGTTGCTAATCACAAACTGACATCAGCCTAAGAATAAAATTGAAAACTAAGGAGCAGTGAATAGGTACTTCTACCTAGTTTGGAACCTCTGAATAGTACACACGAATGATCCTGAGAGAGCTCAAGTCGGTTACCTTCAAGTTTCATTGCAAGCAAATTACCCCTGAACCAGGGAAGTTGAATCCAATGTTCTACGGTTTTTCTTCAACTGTCAACTTGTTATGCAGCATAACAGTCATCCGATGTCATCGACAAGTATTCATCGTCACATCCGATTTAATCGACTCCTTTGGTTCAGACTTCTAATATGAAGTTTTGGGGATTTTACTTCAATACTCACTAGGGAATCTGATGGTATTGGACTCGATCGTTTGCAAGTTCATGGGTGTGCAGTGTTTGAGGATGAAGCAGGTTTCTGATGCTTATCCAAATTATATCGATTTGGCATGAATGCCATCTAGAGATCATTCTGTCCCCATAAATCATTAAGTGACTTAAGATAACCTGGGATTAGCCATCTGATATGATGATTATACAATATGACGTTGGCTAATCTCCAGGGTGTAAAGTTTCATGCCAAAGTAATGTTGTTTTCAGGAACTAGTATTCACATTCATTATGTTTCACAGAATTTTATGAGATGATATGATCAAACGTCTATTAATGTATATTCATAGTCAATGAACAACAGGAAAGATGATCTACACGTCATTGAATTGAACCTTTGGTTGTTGCTTAAAACATTGAAAACACCTATAGATAAGTTACTTGTGATTTCCCGTTGATATACTGGGTTGAATTACTTGGCTTCCGTTGATAGATGGATTGCTATCCGAATACCTCGATACGTCCCAGATATTCGTTATATTGTAGTCTATGTGTTGGCGAACAGTGGAATCCGGAATGTGCGTTTCGTCCTACTTACTACTCGTCAGCCGGATGAACATAGACACCCTTAGTGAGTGATATTGTCTCCATTGAGACTCAGAAACAGTACCCATCACTTCAAACTCCAAAGTGTTATCCACTTGGACAGTGAGATACGGGTATCAGTTACGATTATTATTTATAGATGGTTGTAGTTTCCTGTCGTTTTTCTCGATCGAATAGTTTGATCTTTATTCCATTAAAAACTTTAATCTTCCAATTTTTTTGGTCTAACCTATTTTATGAATAAATCAACGTTATATCCCATCGATATTAGACGTTTCGAAGCAATTGATAGGAAGCCTTGAATCTAGCTAGATTTCATGCTTACTAGCACTCATTAGGTGACTGATGTCAACATCATAAGATGTTCAGTCTCCTAGCCTGTTAACCATTTGATCGGTAGAATTCAATGAGGACTTGAAACTAAACACCATGGAATTAGTCACTCTTTCAGGCAGTCAGTAGTCAATAAAACATTCAACTTCATATTATTGTATTGTATCCTAGTCATTTCAATATATATTTTAAAATTTCCCTTTTTTGTTTATCTCATTACAGGAATGTTGAATGCCAACTAGTTGTTCAATGGATTCAAATCCATTTTAACAGGATTCATCCATCTCTAGATTAATTCATATACATATATTCTTACACAAAATAATAACCACATTAGGGGGGAAGTAAAGTGAAACAGTGTACACAACATATTCAGTATTAGTAAATTCATATAAATGGTAATCATTGCAATAATTTGAAATATCAGTATACTTGTTCAATGTTTCAATTGCATAGATCATATTTATTATCTACATTTCAATATTGTTATATAATTGGATTTATTCGTTTACTATTACTATTGTTGTTTGAAACAACACCAATTATATTGATCAATGGACAATCGATAAACAGTTTATCAAGTGAGTATTTCATTCTTTATTTGTTTCCTGAATGTTTTCGAGTTTTTATTGTGGTGTTTTAGAAAAAAGAAGAGATAATTATTCAACTGAAAAAATTCATTATTTTTCGACGATAACATTTTCTAAAGCTATACAATTATATTTACATTATTATTATTATTATTATTATTATTATTATTATTATTATTATTATTATTATTAGTCCCTTGGGTTCCTAATGGAACATAGGGCTTCAGTAGCACATCTCCAATGAACTCTGTTCTCTGAAATCTTTTCAACCTGGCTCCACCACTGTCCACAAGCTCTCATTTCCTCCTCGCACGATCTCCTCCATGTCACCCTCGGACGTCCAACTCGTCGTTTCCCATGGGGATTCCACTCGAGCAACTGGCCTGACGCGTGATGTCCCCAGTCGGCCTTCTCAGTGTATGCCCAATCCATCTCCACTTACTTCCACTGCATATTTGTTCAGTGATAGGTTCTTGGTTGGTTCGTTCCCAGAGCTCCTTGTTACTTATTCTTTCTGGCCACCTGATCTTCAGTAGCGAGCCAGCGTAAGCAGTTGTTGATGAATGTCTGTAGTTTATTGGAAATGCCTTTCGTGACGCGCCAAGTCTCTGAACCATACAGAAGCACTGACTTGACTAAATTGGTGTTGAAAATCCGGAATTATATTTACATATATATCATAAACATTATAACAGTCTATTATTAAACAATAGGCTAGAATCGCATTATTAGGCCAGCTAGTGCTAAAACAAACCAAAATCAAGAATGCTAGGTACTTGCGTAATTATATATCTCTTAGATAGGGGAAATAACGAGGAAGGTAAGGAGTTTGACAAGGTGAAAATTGTTGGTTGATGAGAAATGCGAAGTGGTTGAATGTCCATTTGATAGATGGATAGATAGATAGATGGATAGATAGATAGATGATAGGTTGATGTAAAGAAGGTGAAGAATGAGACAAGGGTCATAATGAAGGTAATAATAATAAACTAATCTTATTAGGTTCCTAGTAGAACATAGGAGTTCAGTAGCACGTCGCCATTTCACTCTCTTCTCTCAAATCTTTCCAACCTGGCTCCACGACTCCCCATAACCTTTCATTTCTTCCTCATACTATCTCCACCATAATACCACTCTCGGACACCCAACTCATCCCTTCCCATTTGACTTCCACTCGACTTACTGACGTGAGATGACCTGACCTGGTCTGATGCATGATGTCTCCAAACCATCTTCTCATTCCATGCCCGATCCACCCCCACTTTCTTCTTCTTCACATTTTTTGGGTGATAGGTTCTTGGTTGTCAGTCAGTCAGCCACACTTCCGCCTTCCTCATTATTATTACTATTATTATTCTCGCCATCTTATCTCCATCTTCAGTGTCAGTATTGAGTGAGCGAGCTTAGGTGGCAGGTGTTCATGTGATGTATGTGTTCAGTTTGTTGTAAATGCTTCTCGTAATATGGTGCCAACTGTTTCAACCGTCAGATGGAAGCACTTACTTATTTAACTGAATTGTTGTTGATAATCTGGATCTTGTTCACGCTTTATCTTGAGTGCAGTGAATAATGCAATCGAAAGAAAATTGCTAAAGTGTTAAGACCAAGTCGCCACTTTCTACCACCTCATTTTGTGTCTACGAATTTACTCGCTCCTGTGGAGCTAATTATATAGGCCACACAAAGCATGCACTTTCCAAACGCATCTCTGAGTACTGTCATGCGTGTTTGTTAAGGGAAGAATGTTAATCAGTTAAAAGTTCAAATCTTGAACATTTGGTCAAATCTGGAGATATACCTCCACCGGAGTCGTCCCTCATTGTCATTTATAGAATCAAATGGAATGATTGAAAAGGAATATTCCCTCGAAATTTGTACACAGCAGATGTACTGGCAATTCACCAATTCTAATTTAACCTCTGCGTGCAAAAGTAATATGTTCAATGTCTTATCTTACCATGGTCTTAATACTTTCATAGTCTTCTTTCGACTTCATCATTCACTAAGCAAGAACCCATCGCGTATCAACTGTCCAGATGAAGAAAGTGCAGATGGAGACGGATTGGATTGGATTGGAAATAGACTGAGAAGACGGTTTGGGGACATCATACATCAGACCAGGTCAGGTCATCTCACGTCAGTAAGTCGAGTGGAAGTCAAATGGGAAGGGATGAGTTGGGTGTCCGAGAGTGGTATTATGGTGGAGATAGTATGAGGAAGAAATGAAAGGTTATGGGGAGTCGTGGAGCCAGGTTGGAAAGATTTGAGAGAAGAGAGTGAAATGGCGACGTGCTACTGAACTCCTATGTTCTACTAGGAACCTAATAAGATTAGTTTATTATTATTACCTTCATTATGACCCTTGTCTCATTCTTCACCTTCTTTACATCAACCTATCCATCTATCTATCTATCCATCTATCAAATGGACATTCAACCACTTCGCATTTCTCATCAACCAACAATTTTCACCTTGTCAAACTCCTTACCTTCCTCGTTATTTCTCCTATCTAAGAGATAATTACGCAAGTACCTAGCATTCTTGATCTTGGTTTGTTTTAGCACTAGCTGGCCTGATAATGCAATTCTAGCCTATTGTTTAATAACAGACTGTTATAATATTTATGATATATATGTAAATATGATTGTATTGCTTTCATGTTTATTTCTACCCTTAGTTGACCTGTATACCCACTCACTATACAGTAAATCCTTATTACGATATAGATTTGCATGAAATTATGCGTTTAATTCATGAACAACATGGCAAACAAATCGATCATCTAGTTAAACCAGTTTCGGGATGTTAAGCAGTACAGATACAATATGAAGACGGAGGTTGTCTAAAAAATTTTATTACATTATGCAAATTCATCAAAGGGTCTAATTGTTTCAAATTACAACTACAAGCAAAATCGCAGTGAAATGAATTTTTATGGAGTATCGAGGGATTTTCATAACATCCCATACACCAACAGAAGTTAAACGATTCTATTCGAAATAAAAACGGGAATTTATCAAGTATCAATGATTAGTAACAACTGATACATGTTGCACAAGAAGTGGTTTTTATGTCCCGGTAGCGTAGTGGATAACGTTTCAGTATTTCAAGCAATGGATACTGAGTTCAAGACCCTCTGGTACAACAGGAACATCCTAATGACGAGTCACAAGTGGGACAGAAAGCGCATCTTAGTTAGATTCCACTGCTAGTCGACACTAAGCGAAATTATATTATAAATATAGTTTACTAACTCTATGAGCGAAACTATTCCAGAAGAGCAACTTCGATAGTCAGGAAGTAAATCAACTTTCAGAAGTTGATTCTTCGCTTTTGACTAACCATAAGGAAGGCTGAACCGTGTAGTAGAATGCAGACTCCATGGTTAGGGTCTGTGAAATAACTTAGTTGTACGGCTCATATGTTTCTAGACTTCATTGTCACGTAAAGTCTCCATGCTTTGTTCGACAGATTTTTGCTGTTTTCCGTATGGTTTATTCCTCTTGCTCACCTCCATTTTGGGGTGCTTGAGGCGATGCACTTGTGTGTGTGTGTGTGTGTGTGTGTGTGTGTGTATGAGAGAGGGGTTCTACGTTGGTTTTGTCAGTTGTCAGTCTTGACTACAGGACTTCTGTCTTACTGTAAATCTTTACTCCAACATTCTTTCTTTTACCGTTTTTCAAACATCATTTTATCACCTAACATTTTCTTTAGAATTCAGCGATTATCTTGTGAAAGGTATGATTCATTGGGTTACTTTTAACTAATGACTGCAAGGTTCGAACCCCGGTTCCACTTACTTTAGTCTAGGCATTATACACCCTCACACAACAATTGCATGTTGTCTGCATTATAATCATTCATCTATCTTTTTATCAGGTTATCAATCATTTTCATTAATTTACTTGTGATAAGTTATGCAGTTGTTACACTGAAAATATGATAGAATCACACGACATTGAATCATACGACCCAAACTGACAAAATAAAAATTCCTGATGAACTAATTGAAAATCAAGTATGAAGTTGGAGCCTAAGAAAACTAGACTTCATTACTTTTCTTTTCTTTCTATCCTTTTTGCCTGAAGATTGAAAACTCATGCATAAGAGAAAGCTTGAGTCATTGCTTAAAAATCGTAACTATTACCATCACACCGAAGCTGGTTAGGAAAAAGAATGGCTTAATGGATAACACCTTGGCATTTGAAGCGGTGGGTACGAAGTTTTGCTGGCCACAACCAAGTAAATTACCATAATTAACATTCAGGCAATATCGAGGTGTGCGCTTAGGAGCCCATATGCCAATAGAGGTCAAACAATTCGATCCAGTAAAATAGCGGAGAATTACAAGGATATCCACAAATCGTAATAACTAATACCCGTTATGCAACAGGTGGTTATCGTACTTTCATTGCCTTGGGGTTTGAAGCGAAGGGTATGAAGTTCGAATCTCAGTGGGAACAACATCACTCACTGGGGGTGCAGCTACATCCAGTTGACGAGTCCCAAATGGGACGAAACGCGTATCCTAGATTTCTTTGCTAGCCACGACCAAGTAAATGACCATAAAAAAGAATGATAGTTAATATCAAAGGAGTCACTTGAAGGAAAGGTTCATCATATTCTAGGATCCATCGATAGGTCAGATCTATCAGCTTCTGAAGTGTCTTGAGTCAAAGGTCTTGGGTACGTTCAATACAAAACACTAATGAACATAATCTTGAAGTAGCGCAGTCAGATAATGTAAGATGAACGACACGCATCGATTTAATTATAGTTATATAATACCTGTCAAAGCTCTCTAGCCGAACTCAAGCAACCGTATCATGGCTGATGAAGAGTTGTCATTATGAATTGACGACAACTAATCATGTCCGACCGGGATACCTACTGTCACCGTTCGTATTTAACTTCGATATAATCTTAGGTACATCTGACTTCACAGGAATTGATCTGCTCCCTGGAGTTCATCTTGTTGGCTTAGGGTATTC